AATCAATGCAGATGAACTTAAGCTATGGGCTGAGGTACCCGACCTTGAGGCCGGTGATAGACTACAGGACTCGCTATACCTACTACACCAGTGGTCCATCAATTATCAAAAGTGTTGCGTCCTTTTAATAGTTGCGTCTGAGCCACTCTGTACCTATCATATTGGTGATTTCCTTCACAAGAATGCTGCTCAAGATAAAGACTTAGGTGTAATAATTGCCTCTAACCCAAAGACCACCCAGCATACACTGAGGAGCGTGGCTGCTACCAACAGAGTGTGCTTCGCCATAAGGTCATTCGCCCGAATGATATCGGATACCTTCAGGGCTCTGTTTATTTCTAATGTACACCCAAACCCCGAGTATGGCTTAGCAGCTGTCTTTCCACTATCAAAACTGGAATGTACCCTGACTGAAAAGGTCCAGAGACGTGGCCCGAATTTCGTCCCTGGACTTCAGAACCTCTCCTACCCACTTGGGCTCCGACAGAATAACCTTTCTCACTGGACTACCGTCACCGCCGCGGGGAACTCTTCTTCACCAGGCGCATACTGTGGGTACTTGGAAACGAATTATAAGTTTTTCCAGCTGAATACAGACGGTTCGATAAGAGGTCACGACTTAGAACTCCTTAAACCGAGGAGGCTCCATGTTCACTCTGCTATCGCCCTATCCACCCGGGTGATAAACGACTCTGAGGAAGGTTTCAAGCGGCTTAGACTCCCACTTGGGTAAGATATCAGGATTGCACTGTTCTACTGCGAATGCTCCAGCCCATTAGGACTGCTAGTCGCAAAGACACATGCTCCCGTTCTGAACCGGAGGCGATGGGGCTGACATGGGATCACCCTCTGCCCACAATGAATTCAGTGAAACGGAAATTTTCCGTGTCCGAGTTACGTCAGACATGGCAGTGAAATCGGAGTGTGTGAAAAGGCTTTAAAGTAGGAGGAAAAAGTTACGGAGATGCAAAAACCTTGCTTAGCATCTTTCTTATCACGCTTCATGAGTATATGGTACGATTAGCTCCTGTGGAGTAAATATCAAAAATGTAGTTCTCTGACAATGAAAAAGGGTTACGTGGGTTTTTTCAAAGTCGTATGTTAAGAGGCAGCAGTCAATAAGAATGGGGATAAGCAATCGATGGAAAACAGAATTGGTAAATGCGATCTGATTTCCATCTAATTTGTTCCCTCGTAACTTAGTTCGGAAGGAAATCGCATGGCAATATGATCTGCCTCTGAATGCGAACAAATGTCAATTATTGACCACCAGTAGAGACGGGATTGCAGTGCAGACTTCCTCGGGGTCTTTCTCATTGCAGTGTACTAACCAGGCACGTGAGTTACGCACAATCGTAGCGAGCAGCTTCAAGCGTTCGATGAAATGTTGAAATGCTACCAACGAAGCATGGTAAGAACTGGAAATAGCCTGAGTTGGGCTGGAACTCAGAGCCTAGTGGCTCATGGTTGACACCATAAGCACTATGCTACTGAGATCCGCGAGGAACGCTTGGTCCATCGGAAACGAATGCAAAGTTGGACTTGGAGTATCATTTCCATTTTACTTACGGTCTTTTTGATCGGAATGATCAAGGTCCACCCCAAGTGAATCGAGGTCTCAATAGAGGTTGCTTGTAGCAACCCAACCACCAGCGGATACTCCAAGTCCAACTTTGCATGGTAAGAACTGTTTCGCCTCAAGAGGGCACTGCGTAACACAAGCCGAACAACCTTTTCGTAGTGCCAGCTGGGTGGTTTGGGATTATCCCGTTCTAGCAAATCGTTCGGCGGCAGTGTTCCAGGACGTGCCGGGTTTTCGCCTGACAAGCACTCTCCCGTTTAACAACACAGTGACGTGGCGGGTGTGATTTGCCACCAAATAGTCACTGCCCCTTGCTTCATATTGGTGAAGCATTGTATTCTAGCAACTTAATGCTGAAATTGTGGGCAGCATCGGACCCCTGTTTTGCAAACGAAAGGCTATGAACTGGACAATCAGTCACCGGCTCCAAATGGGCGCAATTCCCTGAATTCGCTCCGCTACCTTGCGGGCAGGCTATCCGGCCAAGAGCTCTGGGTGGTGTCCCCTAAGTCAACACCCTACTTCGGCTTGGGTAATTGGGTAGTATCTCGCCTCTGACGAAAAAATGGACACATCCGTGTTGTGTTTTATTATTGTAACGATATCTGTACCCTCCTTTGAATTCCATGGTTTTTGATGGCTCCATGTCTATTCGTAGGCCGTTGCAAATATATATATATATATATATATATATATATATATATATATATATATATATATATATATATATGCCCCTTGCTGAGGCTGATGTTGCATTCATGATGCTTCTTCACCGCAGTTGGGCTAAACCAACTTACAATTAAACTAGGTCTTTTTAATGTGGATAAAATTCGTTACATGTTATTTGGTTTGTTCTGCGTACTTGATAATCTTCTCCTTACTTGCACACGTCGCTCACGCAAATTGTGGTAAACTTGCGTAATTTTATCGCGTGGTATTTTTTACATGACTTTCGGACATTTTGTACTTATCACGGATTCACTTGTAACCGACTTCTTCTATATGCTCATTTAGCGAGTATTTATGTCGTCATATGCGTTTACTTTAATCGATATCGGCATTTCGAATGATTGGCTGTTGTTTGACATCCCAGGTGTGGCTGCGCTTGATGTGCATGTTGACAAGGTGCCTACCTGTCTATTACCCACTACCTCGTCCATATTGGCTCCAGGAGACAGTTGGTCGTTGCTGGAGGGGACGGGGTGCACGGTCCTTGTGGCCGTGTTAGGATCAAAGAGTGGTTCCATGCACTCAGTGTGGAGCGGACTACGGTCCAGGCACCGCCTTGTGTGCGGTTGATTCTCCAAATACAGCGTGCTTGTGTTTGCCTGTGAAGGAGTGTGGGCCGGCTCCGTTGATGAAACGTGGCTCCCATCCACATGCCTCCCGGTCTTATTCCTTCGGGTTTACACTGGATATGGGGTGTGTGGATGGAACTGTAGGTGGTGCAGCGCAAGCCATCCATGGTGCCTCTGTAGGCGCAGGCGTCCTGTGGCTGACCACAGTGACAGGCAAATCCGAAACCGGATGCCGCCAACCATGTATGTGTGCCCCATGCTGAGGCTGATGTTGCATTCTTGATGCTTCTTCACCACAGTTGGGCTAAACCAACTTACACTTAAACTAGGTCTCTTTAAGCTGCATAAATTTCATTCCAGTTTATTTGGTTACTTTTGTCTATCTGAATAGTCTTCTATTAGCTGGCCACGTCGCTTACGCTAATTGCGCTTATCTTCGGTAATTTTGTTGCGTTTGTAGCATTTTTGAGTAACTTGTGGACATTTTTTCCTTATCGCGGATTCATTGCTAGCCAGCTTACTTCATATGCTAATTTAGCGAAGAGTTATGCCACCGTATCTGTATGCATTATTGGATTTATGTTATTTCATTTTGTCGTTTCAAGTGATTGGCTGTTGCGTGCTATCCCCGGTGTGGCTGCGCTTGATGTGCATGTTGACAAGGTGCCTACCTGTCTATTACCCACTACCTCATCCATACTGGCTCCAGGAGACAGTTGGTCGTTGCTGGAGGGGACAGGGTGCACGGTCCTTGTGGCCGTGCTAGGCTCGAAGAGTGGTTCCATGCACTCAGTGTGGAGCGGACTACGGTCCAGCCACCGCCTTGTGTGCGCTTGATTCCTCAAATACAGTGTACTTGTGTTTGCCTGTGAAGGATTGTGGGCCGGCTCCGTTGATGAAACGCGGCTCCCATCCACATGCCTCCCGGTCTTATTCCTTCGGGTTTACACTGGATATGGGGTGTGTGGTTGGAGCTGTGGGTGGTGCAGCGCAAGCCACCCATGGTCCCTCTGTAGGCGCAGGCGTCCTGTGGCTTGCCACAGTGACAGGCAAATCCGAAACCGGATGCCGCCAACCATATATATATATATATATATATATATATATATATATATATATATATATATATATATATATATAATGAGTCAGAAGTCTTTCTGCCATTGTACAAAGCAGTGGTTAGTCTTCATTTGGAGTTTGGTCGCCCTACCTCCGTGGTGATGTTATTTGCACGGAAAGCATTAAAAATGGCAACCAGGATGACTGAAGATCAACAAGGGAAACCGTATGATGACCGCCCAAAGAGTTTAGGGCTGTTTTTCCTGGAGTGACACGGAGACGTTCAAGATGATGAAGGGCTTCAGTGCCATCCGGCCTACTGACTTGTTTGAGCTGGCTGCTTCCGATCAATTGCGCAAACATCGTCTGAAGCTCAAGCAAGAGGGCTAAGCTGGATATCAGGGTGAAATTTTCACGGAACGTGAGATACGCAGCTGGAATAAATTACCTGAGTTTGTGGACTGCGAGACTGGAGTAGCATTCAAAATAGGTCTAGACAAGTGTTGGTCACGTCTTTCTTAAGAACTAATGTAATTTTGTCGAATTTATTGCCAGGACTTCGTGCAGTGAGATTTGGTGTTGATCCATGAAAAGGCAAAGATTACTCTCGTTCCTGCTTCACTTCTTTTGCAGAAGCAAGGAGAGGCGATAGAAGGTCGAAGTACCGAAGCTCTGGTTCACTTACTGGTACAAGAAGCTGGATGCTAGTTAGGCGGAAGCCTGTGTCATCCTTGGATCTTGACCTGACCGAGATTACAACCGGTCACTCGGCGGGTATTTGTGGTATCAGGGTTATTACCTCATGTCTATGCATGCAGTCATTGTCGCAGGCGACAAACGAGCCGAAGGTTGTTAATAACTCGCAAACCCACCTTCCGAAACCATCGTTACGAATAGATGTCTACTAGGGTTAAAGTGACCATTGTCAAAATACGAGAACAATCTGTATACGACCGCAAACCATCGCCATCGAGAAGGCATGGTGAAGTTAATGCCACCGAGATGAGTAAAACGTGGTAAGTAACGGACGTCAGTCCGCGTGACTGCAAGCAGAAGGCGGGTTAAGTAATAAGCAGTAGGTAATGCATGCTGTTTCAATAAACGTTCATATGGAGGATTACAGAAACGTAAATAGAATGCAATTTTCATTACAGCCTGCGGGAGTGTTTATGGCTCACGTGTTTGTGATGCCGACAGTCACTGGAAGCGTCTTTAAGCTTCCTTAACAGTTTTTCTCGCTGACGTTCAGAGAGGTTTCGTAGGAACTCTACGGCCATAGCATCTTCCTTCTCAGTACATTTCCCTGATACTTCTTTCATCGCTTTTTTGGCCTTGCTCAGTATGTTACTGTACCTAGAGAGCTCCGTACCTTGTTTCAACACTAAACCTTCCTTGCGGAGACCGTGTTGCACATGGTCGAGGGTGACAATGTTTGTGACATCCGGCTCCTGCGTAAAAGATTGTCCAAACAAAGGACAAGTGCGATCAGTGTTGACGTGCCCCCACTGTCGACATCGCATGCACCGCACATTGCGAACTTCGATCGCGAAAGGTTGGTCAACGATATCAGAAGAGTTTTTGCAGTATGTCTCGCGAGGGGCGCTATATTTTCGCTGCCATTCGAACTTCAAATCCTTTTCTTCGCTTTCCTTAAAAACAGATGAAATGAGGTTAATTGGCACGTACCTTCTCAATTAGCGCCGGTTGATCGTACATCCAGGCTAGGCCTAGCCGAGCTTTCTCGTCTCCCAGGAGAACACGATTTTCCAACGTCTCCTGCTCCCGCCGATACTGATTCAGCTTCTCTTCCTCCTTCTTGGTGTCAAATTCATGAGCTTGTTCAGCCATCCACTTTCGCTTAATGTTTTCGAAATTTGTAGGATGGAAAAACTTTTTGCACATATAATTATTGTACCCCTTTCCCATCTTGTGAATCACGAATGTATACCGGTGTACTATGTGTCCAGTCGTGGGCTCCGTTGGCTTCTGGATCCGGGGCGTATGTGAGTCGTATTAGATCGACTGGGCTGAAAAGTAAAAGAGAATAGTTCGGCGGCTGGAAAACCATCAAGCAAGTGTCGTAGAGGAATAAACGGTGTGCTTGTGTCACATCTCGCGACTAGCTGGGTGGTGCAGTCAGAACTGCCGAAAGAGGAACGAGCGCGAGGCAACTACATTGGAACATTGTATTTAATGGGAATAAAAGCTCGAGCTTTACATGACCCATAGAATAAAAAGAGTTTGGGTCGGGTCTAATGAAAGGCCAAGCAACCTTATAGCGGGTTGGACTCGCGTGTTAGCCGTATCTTCATCGGGCTTATGCGGCATTTAAACAAAATGCACGCCGGCTGAAAGCGTGACATCCCACCACGCCCTCCGAAACGGCTTTGGAAAGAAATTAGGTAGAAGAAAAACGAAAGAAATTCCATCCAGGTAGTTAGATTAGGGAATATCGCGGTGTAACTCGGCCAGATGACAATCCAGGCGGATCTTAAAGTCCGCCACAGTGGATGCTAAGACTAAATCGGCAGGCAGAGCATTCTACGGTCTGCAGATTCGCAAAGCGAAGTAGTGTCGTCTGCAGTTCAGCCGACTGTGCTGATGTGTGAGCCTCAGTGGGTGGCCACGTAGGTGAAAGCCCGATTGGTGCAGTGTGAGTAGGTGGCGACAGGGATGTCCAGGGTTGGATAAGATCATGAACACAAGGATCAGGTCACCCCGTAGACGTCGATACTTAAGCGAATAGAGGCCGGGGCACTGGAGTCGTTGTGGATAATCTAGGTGCTTGAGACCTCGGACCAGTTTGGTTGCTCGACGTTGTGGGGTTCGAGTATGCGTTGATCTTTCAAAAACCAAGGGCTCCAAGTCTGAATAGCGAACTCCAAGTGGGGTCAATTTGACCGAAGGCTCGTTTCAGCAATCCCACCATGCGGTTAGCAGCAGCAGCTGCTTTCCGGCAGGAAGCGGATACGGAAAAACTCGTCTCAGTAATGATACCCAAGTCTCTTTCGGCCGAAGAGATCTGGAGGATAGACGCTCCCAGGTAAGATATAGGAGAAAAAGCGGAAGGGCGGGTAGAAAGGACGCGACATTTCGAAGCGTTAAATGGAAGGTTGTTTACTATGGACCACTGATGTAGACGATCGAGGTCCGTCTGAAGTGCGTGGGCATCGTCCGGAAGGTTAATTGTGCGCCATAGCTTCGCATCATCCGCGTATAGCAGCAGCGAAGACTCCACTTGCGGTGTGACGTCGTCAATGAAGGCTAGGATGAGGTGCGGTCCGAGAACAGATACCTGTGGAACTTCGGTTGTGGCAATGATGCAGGGAGACAACGCTCCGTTGACGGGTACTTGGAAGGTACGGTTTTGAAGGTAGTTCCGGATCCAGTCCATCAAGGTCTCTGAAACGCCGTAAGACAACAGTTTCTGCAGTAGAATCTTTTGGTCGACCTTGTCGAAGGCTTTGGCGAAATCCAGGAATATAACATGCGTTTCTAGGCCAGAGTCGGCAGCAGTCGTCCAGCTGTCCCTGGCAAGTAGCAAGTTACTCAGAAATGACCGTTGAGGCCGGAAACCGTGCTGGCAATCAGAGAGCAGTTTCTGGGCATCCATGTAGTCCATTAAAGCGTCTGCGACGATCGATTCCATCTCTTTGGAGATCGTAGATAGGAGAGTTATCGGTCGGTAATTGGCCGGGTCATTGCGAGTACCGCCTTTGTAGATTGGTGTAATAGTCCCACATTTCCAATCATTGGGAACTTTGCCTTGCGAGAAGTGGGTGAACAGCTCCGCTAAGGGTAAAGTTAGAGCTGCAGCGCACGCTCGCAAGAGCCGTGGGTGGAAACCATCAGCGCCAGGAGAGGCCGTTAGCCGCAGGGATTTGAGTTTCGCCAGGACCTTCTCCGGAGTGAAATGAACAGTCGTCAGGGAAGTTGAGGGTAAAACCGAAGAAGGTACCGTCGTTGTGTGTATTGTTGGAACGGAGAATGTGGATGCGTACTGCTGGCACAGGACTTCTGCTGCCTCGTCAGCTGATTTCGTGAGCCCTGTGAGGGTCGTCAATGCGGTGACATCGTGCTTGACTTGTGGAAGACTGTTGACATGACTATACAAGGTTTTGGGATTGGATGAAAATTTACGCATAAGCTAACGCTGATGCTCACTCTTATCTTCTAGTACAAGATAGACGCATTGGTTACGGATGGATCGGTAATATTTTCACTGAGTGGCCGTTGGATGGGAGCGATAGTTTCTCCATGCCGTGTTCCTGGAGGCAATCCATTTCCGTGTACGACTTCGGATGAGTGCTGGGCGTCTGGTCCCTATGGAAACTTATTTGCACGTCGTCGTAGTGAAGCAGAGTTCACGTAGGGTAAGGCAAAAGCTTGACCACACGCTGTCGGCACTCGATTGGGGCTCGGGTGACCAGTTGTTAGCGGAAATGAGCAGGTTCAACTTTCCGTAATCAGTCCAGCGTTTGGCATAAGTTGGCGTGCTGACGAGTTTTTCGGCGAAGCATATAAAATCGAAACGGAGGACGCAGTGGTTGCTAAGCCCCAAAGGGGCATCATACTGAACGTGCTCAACCATCAGTTCTTCGTTAGTGAGGACGAGATCTAGCAGGGATGGTTGGTTGTTGGATCGGAATCTGCTCGGCTGATACGTGTGGTTGTACAACGGGGCCGTGTGAAGAAGATCAATGAGGCCTGATGCAAAGGAGTTAGTAGACGGGACAGAGTGAAATAGACGGGGCAGGTTGAAATCACCCATGATAAGAAAGTGTGTGCGCTTGTGGGATAACATAAGGTGGACGTCGTGCATTAGTCGTGCGTCCTTCTCGAGAGTTGTTTGGGGGGCGGTAAATGATACCAAGACAGCTGGAGTGTTTGGTGGTTAGTACGACCTCGCACCACATGGTGTCTGGAGACTGGAGGGCAGTGTTTGTTAATATGCTGCAACTGAGGGAGATGTCATAGTACAGTGCGACACTGCCACTTGGGTTTGCGCGGTCAGAGCGGAGAACTGACATGTCATCATCATCATCAACAGCAGTACATCAGCCATTTGAACTGATGCTTCGCTGCCATACAACCATGAGGACCTATGAAATAAAGAATAAGAAGAGGGAGAGAAGGGTGACTTACCTGAAAACCTTAATGCCCTAAGCAAACATTCAGGGTCAAGGCGCCTACACCTTGTGCAGAAAACATACCGTCACAAACAGCTGGCTATCGTGCAAAGATAAGGCGGCATCGGCGAGACAGCTTCCTTGCGGCTTTCACTGCCCTGCGTCATAATCAGCCATTACCCCGCAGATAACTCAGCACCAAACACACTTTAAACAGACAATCTGATTAGGAGACGGCAGCAGACGCGCCACTGGTGTCGGTTGCGAGCCGTCCTGTAAAGTCTCGAGCCAAGCACAAGGTGAGTCACGTGGACTCCAACCCGGAAGGCGAGATGGACCAACGGCACCCAGTTTGGTCGTCAGTGACTTCATTTCCCGCTGCCAAGTCAACTTCTGTCCACCTCGAGCCTTGCGCCATCCGACACCTGGTAGACTGAACAAGGCCCTCCTAGGTAAGCGGTGAACAGGCATGCGTAGCACGTGCCCGAGCCAACGTAACTTATTCAGTGCTATCTGTTGTTCTAGGGAGCTGGCATGATCATCACCACCTAGTACTCGCCTACGCACATCATCGTTGCGGACACGCTGGTGCCATCCGACACCAGCAATGCTTCGCGAACAACGATGATCAAAGACTTGAAGGCGCCTCAGATCTTCAGACCGAAGGGGCCAAGTCTCACTACCATACAGCAGAACGGCCCTCACTGTGGCCTTGTATACACGGCCTTTCAGACGGAGGGAAACTCCCTTCTGTCGCCAAAGATGACGCAGGTTCAAGAAGGCAGCTCTAGCCTTTGAAATGCGTGAGCTCACGTCAGTTTCTATGCGCCCATCATTGCTGATGCAGCTGCCAAGATAAGTGAATTGATCAACCACCTCGAGTTCCTCGTTAGCAAGCGTCAAGGGGTCATCAAGTGGCTGGTGGTCCTGCAGCAACACTTTGCACTTTGAAGGTGCGAAGTGCATACCAAATAATGGGACCACTCTGGATAGGCTATTCAGGGTTGATTGTGCCGACTCAATATCGTCGAAAAGCAAGACGATATCGTCCGCATAATCTAGATCAACTAACCGTTCACCAGGCAGCACTACAACACCTACATCGTGAGATTCCGCAAGGGAACACTCCATGATAGAATCCACGACGAAATTGAACAAAAATGGGGAAATCGGACAACCCTGACGAACGCCACTTGTAGTCGAAAAGCTATCCGATAGGGCACCATAGACCCTGACGCGGCCTCTAGTGTTCGAGTATAGAGCACGAAGGATGTTCACATATTTCGTGGGAACACCTTTCCGCGCAAGTAATTCGAACAGAATCGATCGATCGACCGAATCGAACGCACTCTTGAAATCAAGGAACACAGCTATTGTCGGTCTGCGGTATGCGTGGCGCTGCTCTAGCACCTGCCGCAAAGTAAATATATGGTCTATACAGCCACGTCCTGGGCGAAAACCGCTCTGCTCTTCTCTAATCCGAGATTCCCGTTCTGCAGTGAGGCGACGAACGATAATCGAGGCCAGTAATTTTGTCACAACTGGCGTTAGGCTAATACCCCTGTGGTTCGCACAGTCTGTGCGACTGCCCTTCTTGTATATTGCCACTATAATCGATTCGTTCCAATTAGCCGGCACACTCTTCGTTCCAGATACGTTCGAATAGGGAGGTTAGTGCCCTGCAGAGGACCTCACCTCCATCCTTAAATAGTGCAGGTGGTAGGGAATCCGGGCCAGCGGCACGAAAACGATTGAGGGCTGTGATCGCGTTTCGGACCTCGGCCTCCGACGGAGGCTCTAAACTAACCGTCCATGGCACGTCCTGCATCACCTGAGTAGGAAGAGGTCCGGGAGCAGGGGGCCAGCTGAACTGATCTTCAAAGTGTTCAGTCCAACGA